AAGATGGTGGTACAAAGACCGGATTGGTGATTGTTACTATAGATGAAGATGAGAGCTGGTACACAACGACTCTGAACTTCGAAGCAAGATCTTATACCACTACATATACTGATGAAGATGGTTCCACTAAGATGGGCGTTGTTGTCGTGACTACTGATGAGAACCAGAGATGGTTAACTAGTACACTGAACTTGGATGGAAATGTGTACACCACTACCTATGTCGATGAAGATGGTGGTACAAAGACCGGATTGGTGATTGTTACTATAGATGAAGATGAGAGCTGGTACACAACGACTCTGAACTTCGAAGCAAGATCTTATACCACTACATATACTGATGAAGATGGTTCCACTAAGATGGGCGTTGTTGTCGTGACTACTGATGAGAACCAGAGATGGTTAACTAGTACACTGAACTTGGATGGAAATGTGTACACCACTACCTATGTCGATGAAGATGGTGGTACAAAGACAGGCTTGGTGATTGTTACAACAGATGAAGATGAGAGTTGGTACAGTACTACCCTGGAGTTCAAATCGACATCTTATACCACTACATATACTGATGTTGATGGTTCCACTAAGATGGGTGTTGTTGTCGCGACTACTGATGAGAACCAGAGATGGTTAACTACGACACTGAACTTGGATGGAAATGTGTACACCACTACCTATGGCGATGAAGATGGTGGTACAAAGACAGGCTTGGTGATTGTTACAACAGATGAAGATGAGAGTTGGTACAGTACTACCCTGGAGTTCAAATCGACATCTTATACCACTACATATACTGATGAAGATGGTTCCACTAAGATGGGCGTTGTTGTCGTGACTACTGATGAGAACCAGAGATGGTTAACTAGTACACTGAACTTGGATGGAAATGTGTACACCACTACCTATGTCGATGAAGATGGTGGTACAAAGACAGGCTTGGTGATTGTTACAACAGATGAAGATGAGAGTTGGTACAGTACTACCCTGGAGTTCAAATCGACATCTTATACCACTACATATACTGATGTTGATGGTTCCACTAAGATGGGTGTTGTTGTCGCGACTACTGATGAGAACCAGAGATGGTTAACTACGACACTGAACTTGGATGGAAATGTGTACACCACTACCTATGTCGATGAAGATGGTGGTACAAAGACCGGATTGGTGATTGTTACTATAGATGAAGATGAGAGTTGGTACAGTACTACCCTGGAGTTCAAATCGACATCTTATACCACTACATATACTGATGCTGATGGTTCCACTAAGATGGGCGTTGTTGTCGTGACTACTGATGAGAACGAGAGATGGCGAACTACGACACTGAACTTGGATGGAAATGTGTACACCACTACCTATGGCGATGAAGATGGTGATACAAAGACAGGCTTGGTGATTGTTACAACAGATGAAGATGAGAGCTGGTACACAACGACTCTGAACTTCGAAACAAGGTCTTATACAACTGCGTATATTGACGAAGATGGTTCCACTAAGATGGGCTTCGTTGTTGTTACGACTGATGAAAATGAGAGCTGGTTCACTTCAACACTGAAGTTGGAGGAAAATGTGTACACCACCACCTATGTCGATGAAGATGGCATCCCAAAGACAGCTATTGTTATTGTTATTTCTGATGTAAATAAGACTTGGTACACTAATATGCCTGCTTTTGAAGATGTTCTGCTCACATCTGGACCCAAACCCAAACCTGTCGTTCATTATTATATCACCATCACACCCAATTCAGGAGATGAAATAGTGGTAAAAACTATAGGTGTAATTATTGAAGGTCCAGTTATTGGTTGCAGCTCAGAAATTGTTGATATTCCTAGTGCCGTAGATTATACGAAATTGACCCAAGCTGTTACCAAGACCGTTGTTGTGGCAGAAACTAGCTGTCAAGGTAATGAATGTGTAGAAATGGAGAGAACTGAGGAAATAAACTCTGAAGAGACGACATGGGCAGCAGCATTTGAATCGCAACCTTCGATAGTGCTCGAAGGTGGTGCGTCTTCGAGTATTTGCAGAGCTAATATGGCTGGCATTTTTGTGGGCTTGATTGGATTTCTTTTTATTTAAATTTGTTATATTTGTCAGGGGAATTGTTTCCCTTGTTTCTAAATTTGGTTGTGTGTAGATCTTTAAATATATACTTCAGATATGAGTAAAATTCCCGTATTTTGACAAATGAACTTCTTGTCACTTTCGATCAAGTCTGCTGTAAGTTCTACATAGTTAGAGAGTACTAAGGGCTATCAACAAAAACAATACAATCTTGAAGCTTACCAAAAGGAAATCAGGAATTCAAAATTTGTTCCACCACACATAGACAACTCGATATTCTGTGAAAGTGCAACAGCTTAGCTCCGTCAAATAGATAACATATATTTGCAATATTTTATATATTATTTTAGTGTATTACATATATGTAGAATAAGTTGTTACTGACAGAGTCAGAAAATGTTTAGCACCTTAAGACAATTTTTTTTAAGGGGGTGGGTCCCTCGCTCTTTCTTTTTTTTTTTAGTTTGGAGAATTTTGCAGAAATATTTGTTAGGAATTACAAGTAAAGTAATGAATTTAATTTCCAAGGGAACTGATTTTACAATCTGATAGAATTACTATCATTATATATGTATAGACACAGGACCATACTATATGGGTATTGTTTCATTTTTTTTTCCCGACCCCACTAATTGAACCTTAGTAATTTTCTGATCCCCGCGAACAATAAACTGGCAATTTTTCATTTCATTTCTTCTTCTTCTTCTCCTTCTCCTTCTTCTCCTTCTTCTTCTTATTATACCAATACTCAACAACATCCCAAGCCTTGGAAGTTTGTACAAATTCAATCATTTTAAAGGGAGACACATTTGGATATCCCTTCTCTGTTTGCTTTTCTCTATCAACATAGCCACTTCCAATGTCAACCAAACCAAAAGTATTAAGAGTTGGACAAATCGAATATGCTCATGAAAGGTGGAATCAACTTGAATCCATTGCTGAAATAATTGACTGCACTTCCCAATCCCGCGAAGAATTCATTCATGATCTTAAAACTAAATACCTGGATGTAACTTGTGTTTCTCGTACTTTCTACTCCTATCCCATGACTGGTAAATTGGACAAAGAAATTGCTGAAGCAATGTCTCCTACTGTTAAAACATTAAGTCATAATGGAGCTGGATATGATCATATAGTAGTTGATGAATTTACTAAAAAAGGAATTCAAGTTTCTAATGTCACCTTTCCAGTGGAAGATCCTACTGCTGATACAGCCATATATTTGATGTTGGGTTGTATGAGGAATTTCCAACAAGGGCGTGAGTTGTTACGTCTGGGGAATTGGCCAAAAAATGGTGGAGTCGAAGCTGGAGGTGTAAGAATGGGCCATACTCCAAAGGGGAAAGTAGTTGGAATTTTAGGTATGGGTAGAATTGGCCGTGCAATTAGGGATAGATTAATCCCATTTAAATTCAATAGAATTATTTATTATAATAGAAATAGATTAGATCCAGAATTAGAAGGTGCTAGTGCTGAATATGTATCATTTGATGAATTACTCCAAAGTTCAGATATAATAATCGTAAGTATGCCATTGAATGAATCTACAACTCATATGATTAATCCAAAAACTATTGAAAAGATGAAAGATGGTGTAATCATAATCAATATTGCAAGAGGCGCAATTATTGATGAACAACATTTACCCAAATATTTAAAATCAGGTAAAATTTCATCATTTGGATCAGATGTGTTTGAGAAAGAACCGATCGTTTCTCCTGATTTGTATAATCTTCCCAACGTTATTACTTTACCTCATATGGGCACCCATGCAATAGAAGCTCTCAAATATATGGAAGAATGGGTTGTTGATAATATTGAATGTTTTATCAATACTGGAAAAGTGAAAACAATCGTACCTGAACAATATAACATGAAAATCTTAGAATAGTTAGTAGTATAATTGAGTTTTAACTTTGTAATATTTACAATTGACATTTCGTTTCTACGTAGTTCTTATTTATTGACTAAAACCATGCAGTCTTCCCATGTCTGAAAGAATTGTCATAAGTTGAAGCATTAATACTGTATATTGTATCCAGCTATTGTCTATAGATTACATTCGTTCGATCCAAGACTTGTTCGAATTTAATGTTTCCAATGATCCTTAGATCCAACTTTTGACACAACAGCCTTTAAGCAATCTTAGAGTTTAAGCAGGTGAAAAGGTCTATTTACGGGACGTCGAAAACAATCAGCGTAGGGTCGTTCTAAGTGTCTCTGAATTTGAAAAGCATACACGTCAAAATCACCAGCCATTGACTGTACAATCAACTCAATTTAATGATTACCCGGTGCAATCCAAGACTACTCTTTATATAGTTTTATTTCCAGAAGGCAAAAATACAAGGGTGAAGAGATGACGAATGTCAACACCGCCGATACTAGTCGAGTCGCCACCCATTGCTATTGTACCCCTAAGTGCAATTTACACCTCCAAGCACTAATTCTACGAGTATCCTCGGAGGAATTGAACCAGATTCTCTCCCGGACTGTTATGCTGGGACTCCAACTTGAATGTATGGTTGCTTCCCGGACTCAGCCTTCGAATTCAAACACAGGATAAAGCCAACCCAAATAGATAATAGTAGCCATTGACTAATTAAGCGCTAAACCTAAATCATAAAATGAACACACATAACCACACACAACCCACTAAAAAATTGAAAGTGAAAACTATGATGAGACTAGGTCCCCCTCCTAAAGCTCGAAGCCGAATTAACAAGAAGGGAACTTCATTATAGCCCTTGAACTTAAATACCACAAACAATTACATCATCAACCTGTGATTGTGTTGAGCTCATCAAATGTTCTTAGATTATCAATATAATTACAAGTAAGCTTGTAATGTCGATTTTGGCTGTTAAGTAAATCCCTGCAATTTACACAGAGGGTATTGAAGAGAAATGCAAATAAGCTCCAAATCAAAACCTTTCTCAGTAGGTCAATTATGTATAAAAGTCTTGGGTGTCATCGACTTACTATACCTGTGATAAAAAGATAGCCAATACCCTTTAAGCGCATAATTATTTTTTTCGGAAAAATTAAAGTATGGGGTTTATTTCCTGGCCCAAATCTGAATTAGGAAGGACACAAAAATATTTTCTTAACTTGGAAAAAATAATATCTATGTCACTCTGAACAGATTTAGAGATTCGATTGGAATATTGAAAGCCAACAAACTTAGCTTGCATAGGAACATAGGGAGACAGTATTAGTTAGTATTATAAAGGGTATGATTCAGGCCAAGTCAGTTTACCTGCGCCATACCGGTTTAGGAGATAGAGTCCGGAATGTATATGGTCGAGTGGTAGTTCTATCGTGCTTTTCTCCCAATGGTTTGGCTCTTCATGGGTAGATTGGTTTAAGCATTGTGGATTCTTGATTGCTGCCTGGTAGGATGAATCTGACATGTGTCTAGAAGCTTGGTGAGTGTACCAATTGCAGATACAGGGGTTGCAGACTTGTTAGGTTGAGAAGGACCATTGATCAGTCTGCTATTTCAGGGATTGTTTTCAGGGTGAAAGAAGAAGTCAAGCTATCTACATAGTATTCCATAGCTTTTCACAAGGCTGATTCTGCCTAAGAGTCAAAAAGATTAGGATGCCCTTATAAACCGAGCTGCCTGACTATGGTTTCAGGGTTATTAGTGACTGTAGGTAGCTAAGAATCTGGGACGCTACGGGCACCTGATTTGTGAGCGCTTATGGTGGATGATTCGTCTTAGTGGTAGCAGCCCTAACGGGTCTGATGACTTAGCATCTCCTGATCCTATGTAGTGTGTACTTGATTGGGTCATTATATCAAAGAGATCGTTTAGGTCGTTCCTCTTCTTGGCTTGTAAGCAGGAACTGACACACCGTACATTGTAATATGCTAGCACTGTTGTATATTCCCCTCTTATGTTGCAGAGATTCTATATATGAACCATCTTGAAAGGTCTAGTTTTGGTAGATTCTGTTAACTGGCAGATTGTACCAGTTCTGGTCTATGCTTAGCTACTTTGCTTTGGGGAGATATCATAACCTTGTTGTAGTTATTAGGGCTAGTTGTAGGACTATATTAGCATTTCATGACAGTGCAACATTGCATAGGAGCTACAGGTTATTTAATAATTGAAGTTATTTTTGAAAGATTTTTACAGATTTATAGTACTAACTTTTTTTCGGGTAGATTTTTTACATATTTTTAAGTCATAATTTTTTTGCATACTTTCTACACTATATTTAAGCTCATATGTAGCAGATGTATCCCAGAAGCTATAGGGAGATAAGAAAGACTTCGTATACCCGATTAGAGTAACGAGTTTGTTTGATAGGTAGCTTACTGAAGGTCTCGTTGGGATTCTGGACTAATGACCTTATGTACTACAGGGTTACATATAGATTGGTAAATATCCAAACAGCCAAAAACATCCAGTAGTTAGAGCGGTCTAGGTGCTAGCAGGATGGGACGCTGGCAGGATGGGGGAGGGTCTTGGGATGCTTGTCTGTCTGGTTGTTTTGGAGGTTCTAGGTGCTACCAGGTGGGAGGCTGGCAGGATAGGGGTTGGTCTCGGGATGCTTGTCCGTCTGGTTGTTTTGGTTCCAGGTGCTTCAAGGTGGGAGGCTGACAGGATGGGGGATGGTCTTGGGATGCATGTCTGTCTGGTTATTTTGGTGGTTCTAGGTGCTACCAGGATGGGAGGCTGGCAGGATGGGGGAGGGTCTTGGGATGCTTGTCTGTTTGGGTGTTTTGGAGGTTCTAGGTGCTACCAGGATGGGACGCTGGCAGGATGGGGGAGGGTTTTGGGATGCTTGTCTGTCTGGTTGTTTTGGAGGTTCTAGGTGCTACCAGGATGGGGGATGGTCTCGGGATGCTTGTCTGTCTGGTTGTTTTGGAGGTTCTAGGTGCTACCAGGATGGGAGTCTGGCAGGATGGGGGATGGTCTCGGGGTGCTTGTCTGTTTGGTTGTTTTGGAGGTTCTAGGTGCTACCAGGATGGGAGGCTGGCAGGATGGGGGA